TCACCCTCCTAAATAATCATATGAACATGCAATGTCGTGAAGTCACCCTCATAATGATCATATAAACATGCAATGTCGTGAAGTCACCCCCTAGATAATCATATAAACATGCAATGTCGTGAAGTCACCCTCCTAAATAATCATATAAACATGCAATGTCGTGAAGTCACCCTCATAATAATCATATAAACATGCAATGTCGTGAAGTCACCCTACTAGATAATCATATAAACATGCAATGGCGTGAAGTCACCCTCCTAGATAATCATATAAACATGCAATGTCGTGAAGTCACCCTCATAATAATCATATAAACATGCAATGTCGTGAAGTCACCCCCCTAGATAATCATATAAACATGCAATGTCGTGAAGTCACCCTCCTAAATAATCATATAACATGCAATGTCGTGAAGTCACCCTCATAATAATCATATAAACATGCAATGTCGTGAAGTCATCCCCCTAGATAATCATATAAACATGTAATGTCGTGAAGTCACCCTCCTAAATAATCATATGAACATGCAATGTCGTGAAGTCACCCTCATAATAATCATATAAACATGCAATGTCGTGAAGTTACCCCCCTAGATAATCATATAAACATGCAATGTCGTGAAGTCACCCCCCTAGATAATCATATAAACATGCAATGTCGTGAAGTCACCCCCCTAGATAATCATATAAACATGCAATGTCGTGATGTCACCCTCCTAATTATTCATATAACATGCAATGTCGTGAAGTCACCCTCATAATAATCATATAAACATGCAATGTCGTGAAGTCATCCCCCTAGATAATCATATAAACATGCAATGTCGTGAAGTCACCCTCCTAAATAATCATATGAACATGCAATGTCGTGAAGTCACCCTTATATTAATCATATAAACATGCAATGTCGTGAAGTCACCCCCCTAGATAATCATATAAACATGCAATGTCGTGAAGTCACCCTCCTATATAATCAAACATGCAATGTCGTGAAATCACCCTAATAGATAATCATGTAAACATGCAATGTCGTGAAGTCACCCTCATAATAATCATATAAACATGCAATGTCGTGAAGTCACCCCCTAGATAATCATATAAACATGCAATGTCGTGAAGTCACCCTCCTAAATAATCATATAAACATGCAATGTCGTGAAGTCACCCTCATAATAATCATATAAACATGCAATGTCGTGAAGTCATCCCCCTAGATAATCATATAAACATGCAATGTCGTGAAGTCACCCCTCTAGATAATCATATAAACATGCAATGTCGTGAAGTCACCCTCATAATAATCATATAAACATGCAATGTCGTGAAGTCACCCCCCTAGATAATCATATAAACATGCAATGTCGTGAAGTCACCCTCCTAAATAATCATATAACATGCAATGTCGTGAAGTCACCCTCATAATAATCATATAAACATGCAATGTCGTGAAGTCATCCCCCTAGAAAATCATATAAACATGCAATGTCGTGAAGTCACCCTCCTAAATAATCATATGAACATGCAATGTCGTGAAGTCACCCTCATAATAATCATATAAACATGCAATGTCGTGAAGTCACCCCCCTAGATAATCATATAAACATGCAATGTCGTGAAGTCACCCCCCTAGATAATCATATGAACATGCAATGTCGTGAAGTCACCCCCCTAGATAATCATATAAACATGTAATGTCGTGAAGTCACCCTCCTAAATAATCATATAACATGCAATGTCGTGAAGTCACCCTCATAATAATCATATAAACATGCAATGTCGTGAAGTCATCCCCCTAGATAATCATATAAACATGCAATGTCGTGAAGTCACCCTCCTAAATAATCATATGAACATGCAATGTCGTGAAGTCACCCTTATATTAATCATATAAACGTGCAATGTCGTGAAGTCACCCCCCTAGATAATCATATAAACATGCAATGTCGTGATGTCACCCTCCTAAATAATCATATAACATGCAATGTCGTGAAGTCACCCTCATAATAATCATATAAACATGCAATGTCGTGAAGTCATCCCCCTAGATAATCATATAAACATGCAATGTCGTGAAGTCACCCTCCTAAATAATCATATGAACATGCAATGTCGTGAATTCACCCTTATATTAATCATATAAACATGCAATGTCGTGAAGTCACCCCCCCCCCCTAGATAATCATATAAACATGCAATGTCGTGAAGTCACCCTCCTAAATAATCATATAAACATGCAATGTCGTGAAGTCACCCTCATAATAATCATATAAACATGCAATGTCGTGAAGTCACCCCCCTAGATAATCATATTAACATGCAATGTCGTGAAGTCACCCTCCTAAATAATCATACAAACATGCAATGTCGTGAAGTCAACCTCATAATAATCATATAAACATGCAATGTCGTGAAGTCATCCCCCTAGATAATCATATAAACATGCAATGTCGTGAAGTCACCCTCCTAAATAATCATATGAACATGCGATGTCGTGAAGTCACCCTCATAATAATCATATAAACATGCAATGTCGTGAAGTCACCCCCTAGATAATCATATAAACATGCAATGTCGTGAAGTCACCCTCCTAAATAATCATATAAACATGCAATGTCGTGAAGTCACCCTCATAATAATCATATAAACATGCAATGTCGTGAAGGCATCCCCCTAGATAATCATATAAACATGCAATGTCCTGAAGTCACCCCCCTAGATAATCATATAAACATGCAATGTCGTGAAGTCACCCTCATAATAATCATATAAACATGCAATGTCGTGAAGTCACCCCCCCCCCCAGATAATCATATATTTATTATTCCCTTCTAAATAATCATATAAATGTTTAAGAATTCTTTTTTTCGGGTATGAAAACAAGAAAGATGTAGTTTCATGTAGAATTCTTATAAATATCAGGGAAATCCCTTCCCAGCAAGGTTTTCTCAGTTCCAGGAAAAATCCCCCTGGATTTTATGCGAAACTGTGTTCAGCTACCTATACTTTTACAACAAGGAAGTTCATCGTAGCCTATATTAATTCATGCTTGGAAAAATATTTTGATATGGAAATTCTTCAAAATTTGAACAATTAGTTTACTTTGATAAATTTCACTGTCTTTTTCCTTTTTTTTTTAAATTTTATGTTAACCGCATTTAATTTGGAAAGACCACCCCCCTCCCAAAAAGTGTTGGGTGCGAAGGCTTCTTAATAATTAGTATTCTAGTCTCAATTTAAACCAAATAAAACTGACGACCTCTCCCTCAAAACTGCTCAATTGCCTCGCACACATCTCCCTTAAAAGAGATAATTTACAGATTAAGGTTTATTTGATTTTTTTCAGTTCCCTAAACGTACGGCTAGAATGCGTACCTTTTCTTAGCATGTTCGGGCATTTTTGCATCAGACTTCCGCTGATTTTTATGAGATGAAAAATTAAGTGAAAGCTTCTTAGTTTGAAGACTTAATATAATTTAGGGCGTGCTATCAAAAAGCAACAGCGTGCATTTGATACTTGGCTTGTTTAAATTATGTTGGTTTCTGTTTTACAAAAAAAGTTGCATTTCGTCATAAAAATAGATGGGAATTATATACATTTTTAAATATTTTTTATAAAAGGAAGTATAGTAGTAAAGGATTAAATATTGTCCGAGTGCAGGTATAAGTACTTTATTGTTAAAAAAAAAGATCGGGTTTGTTCTTCAGAATGAGATATAAGCGATAAATTTAATTTTTCAAAGGTGCCTTCACGCCATTGCAAATAGCAATATCGGTTTGATGTTTTACACGACGGTCGTGTAAATAGTCATTGAAATTATATACACGACGATCGTGCGAATAGTCATTGAAATTATATGCACGACGGTCGTGCGAATAGTCATTGAAATTATATGCACGACGGTCATGCGAATAGTCATTGAAATTAAATGCACGACGGTCGTGGATATAGACACTGCCGGGAAATCCAACGTGGGAGGTTGGGGTATGCATATCTCTGTTGAATGCCGTTATCCTTTTATCTCAGAAAATGTATGAGATGGACGAAGGAACAAGGTATGAATTTGTATGAAGTATGACATAGTGAATATGCTGTATTGAGGAAAATGTTAACATCTTGATCAAGTTTTTATGAAGATATGGTACCCGTTTCGATTTCATTTTGAAAAAAAGGAGGGGTGTTAAATAAATATTTATTTTGTTTTATTTTTTGTATCCATAGCGACACCTGGAAAGACCTGTTTGATGGTGAATCAACATCACACTCTGGGTTTGTGACATCTTCCACAAAATTGGACAAGTTGTTACAGGAGTATGATTATGCAAATTCGTCCAGGTACCGATGTATAAAAAGTTCAAAGAATTTGAAAAGGATGTTGGTAAGTGTTTCAGTTCAACATTTTATTGAATGACATAAAGTGATGACGTAATGGACAAGTACACAAAAGGGTCAGACTAATTAACATACATTACATCCTAACATCTCCCTTCCTTTGATAATGAATGGCAATTCATTTAGAAGTTTAAACTTTAGACAATATCAATCAAAATGTTCCTGCTATGTAAACAAATCTTGAAACATAAAGCATCAGTATTTCTGCATTATAGAAATAAAAACTGAATTACAGCATACATGTAAATTTTCACATGAAACTTTCTGCATTTGAAAAGTTCAGTAAGATAATTGCAAAACAGAAATTATATTTTTTCACAAACATCATATTCACAAAACATAGTCCTCGAGTTTCTTTGGTAACCTTGGTGCACGCGAACTTGTTCGGCGGTTAACTGGGCTGGCGTTAACGGTCTTTGGTTCACTTGGCTTTTGAGGGGTTGGTGTTTTGGTAACTTTAAGGTCTTTCATTTTGGGTTTTTCGGAAGTTACTAAGAGCGCATCAGGTGAATCCTCAAATTCTGGAATAAACGACGGAGTGGTGGCATCATATGGCTCATTTGTTGCGCGAAGGTCTCTTCGGTTTCGTCGATATTGTTTATTGTTGATATCTATGATGTAAGAGCGATTGCCGATGTTATCCACACAAGTACCATAACTCCATTTTTTTCCGTATGATGTTTCATGCGGACTGGTTGACCAATTTCGAGTTCTGGTAGTTCCTTAGCAGATTTGTCGTAGTAGAATTTGGCCTTTTGTCGCTTGAACTTAACTTTGTCCGCTACATCGTCGACAAGTTTGGGCTGGAGTAGTTCCTGCGATAAAGGTAAGGAATGTCGAGTCCTTCGTGACATGAGTCGTTGAGTTGGACTGCTGGCCATGTCCACTGTTGGGGTGTTCCTCCAATCTAGGATGCATTTCCACAGGTCGTCTCCATTCTTCTTAGCCTTGCGCACCATTTTCTTTGCGATCTTCACTGTTGCTTCTGCTTTCCCGTTTGACTGACTATAATACGGGGAGGAGGTTACATGCTCAAACTCCCAATTACATGAAAAATCATGAAAGTCTGTTGATTTGAACTGTGGTCCGTTGTCGGTAATTACAACATCTGGTGTTCCGTGACGTGCAAAATGTTGTTTCAAACAGTTGATTACTGTGGCTGCCGTGGTATCTGGAAGAAGGTCGAGCTCAAAGAAATCTGAGTAAAAATCAACTGTGACAAGGTAATCCTCAGTCTTTAGAGTAAAGAATCAGATGTCGATTCCAAGTTTTGACCATGGCTGGTCTGGGACATCATGTGTCATTAATGGTTCTTTCTATTGTTTCCGTTGAAACGTGCTGCATGTGCTACACTTGCTGAGGAAATCCTTAATCTCCTCATTCATGAGAGGCCAATAGAGCGAATCCCTAGCTTTCCGTAGACAAGCCTCAATTCCTAAGTGGCTGGAATGAGTGCGGCGTAGCATTTCCGGTCGAAGAGCTTTGGGAATTACAACACGGCTGCTGCGGTAAATAATACCATCTTGCACTGTGAGAGAGTCTCTGACATTCCAATATGGTCATATTGGAATAGGAACGTCTTCCTTAGTATCAGGCCATCCTGAAAGTATCACTGTCTTTAGTGACTGGAGAGTCTCATCCTTGTTTGTCAAATCTCGGATTTGATTCAGTCTTGAGTCTGTGACCTTTCTAACCCATTCTGCCTGTTGAATATGTGCTATCACCTCAGCTAGTTTGGATGTGTGCTGTCCATGATACTCTGGAGTCGCGCGAGACAAGGTATCTGCGATGAACAACTCTTTTCCTCTAGTATAAACAACATCCAGGTTGTATTTCTGGAGGCGTAGTAACATTCGCTGGAGTCTTTTTGGAGCTGACAAGAGAGGTTTCCTGAAGATCGTTTCAAGAGGCTTGTGGTCTGACTGTACTGTAATGCAATCCTTACCATATATGTAATGGTCAAATCTTTCGCATGCAAAAACGATTGCAAGACACTCTTTCTCTATCTGTGCGTAACACTGTTCAGTTTTAGATAATGCACGAGAGGCATAAGCAATGGGCTGTCCATTTTGCAGTAATGTGGTTCCGAGGCCAACTTCACTAGCATCGCACTGAATTGTGACTTCCTGATGTACATTATAGTATTTGAGTACAGGTTGATGACTCACGAGACGTTTGACATTCTGAAATGCTTCTTCCTGCTGCGATTGCCAAGACCATATGGCTCCTTTGTCTGTGAGACGTCGCAAAGGTTCACATGTTTCCGATAGATGAGGTAAGAATCGAGACAAGTATGTTGCTAGACCAATAAAGCTTTGCACTGCTTTAACATTTTCAGGTCTTTTCATGTTTGTAATGGCACTAACTTTGTCTGGATCAGGGCGGACGCCTTCTGCCGTAAGTATACTGCCCATGTATTTGACTTCAGTCTGACGAAGTTTGAGCTTGTCCTTATTAAGCTTTAGTCCCACCTCACGAGGTCTTTGTAGAACTGCCATCAAGTTGCGGTCATGATCTCGAATTGCTGATTCCATGGTCTGTCCACAGCCGTAGACTATGATGTCATCCATCACACATTCTGCTCCAGATAGTCCTTCCAACACTTCGTGTTGTCTGCGCTGGAATTCTTCAGGTGCTGATGAAATTCCGAAGGGTAAACGCAACCATCTGTATCGACCAAAAGGGGTCCAGAATGTAGTAAGGAAACTGCTAGATTCATCTAATTTGATGTGCCAGAATCCTTCTTTTGCATCGAGGACGGAGAATACTTTTGCGTTCGCAAGATTCGGTAATATGTCCGCAAGGGTAGGCATGATATAGTGCGGTCGCTTGATAGCTTTGTTCAAGTCTCTGGGATCAATACATATGCGTAGCTTTCCAGGTTTTTTCACTGTTAACATGCTACTTATCCAGTCTGTAGGGGTAGTAACTTTCTTGATCACACCTCTGTTCTCGAGATCCTTCAGCTTCGTGTGAATTTCCTGCTTCATGGCTTGATGAACTTTCCTTGGTTGATGCTGAACTGGCTTAACTGTTGGATCAATTTCAATCTTGTATTCGCCTGGGAAAGATCCTAGTCCCTCGAATACATCATGGTATGTGGTTAACAGCTGACTGCGCGTCAGTGGTTCAAAGTTATTCTCAGCTGATGTATCAACACTGTTCACAATATTCACAGTTAACAGTCCTAACTTTTCACATGCTTCAGCCGAGAGCAATGCGGTTTGATCTGTGTCCACCACATAAAAGTTCAGACATTCTGTGTTGCTTTGTACTGAGCAGGTAATATCAACAGTACCTAAGGGCTCAAGCTTTGATGTTCCACCATAAAGTCGTAGAGCCTTGCTGGTTGGTTTCAATGGCGGACAACCATTCTGGGTAAGAATGCAGTATTGGCGAAATCCAAGAATGTTACATGTTGATCCAGAGTCCAGTTGACAGATAACATCTTGACGAGTTGCGTCGTCGATCACCATGTTGACTTTTGTGAACCACTGTTTACCATGTGTCGTCTTCACTGTGTAACAAGATTCACATTCACTACTGTCATCAGTTACATCAAGTTGAAGAACAGTCTTGCTAGCATTCTGACACACTGAAGCGAAATGATTTTTCTTTTTGCACTTGTTGCACATCTGTCCATAAGCCGGACACTTGTTTCTTCCTCTTGCATGCTTTCCACCACAGTATTTACATTTGGAATCTCCTTTGTTTGGGTATTTTGGTGGCTTTGTCGAAGACTTTTTCTGGTGCTTCGTGTCTTTCATGTGCTTCTTATTTCCTCTTGCTGCGTAGTTGACTTGAGCTGTATTATTGTTATTAGTGTCACTCTGTCCTTGTCCTTGTAGTTTCTTAAGCTGACTGGAAGTTCTCTCACTGGTCCTACACATATCTATGGCGCTGTTGAGTGTGAACTTCGATTCTCTGAGCAATCGTCCACGAACGCTTTGGTCTTGGTTCCCAGTACTATCCTATCGCGAATCATTTGGTCCATAATATCACCAAATTCACATGTCTTCTCAAGGTCTCGTAGTCTGCACAAGTAATCGTCAAACGATTCATTAGGCATCTGGTCTGCCGTATTAAAGATATATCGTTCATAGATCACATTTGTTTTGGGCATGAAGTGACCGTATAATGCTTCTAGAATTTTATCAATATCTTCTCTGTCTTGAACACTGAGTGGTAAGTTTTCATATATTTGGAAACAGTCTTTACCCATCACTGTCAGTATTGTTGCTATCCGAATAGGCTGCTCCTTCTTGACAAGGTCTGTGGCAATTTCATAATTGGACCACTGTGATTTGAAAAATTTCCAGTTGCCCCTGATGTCACCTTTCACTACCATAGCTGCTGGTACAGGTAAGTCTTTAGAGGCCATTGTGCTATGACTATGAGTATGAACAGTTCCGTGGCTTTGTATGGCAAAAAATGTATGAGTATCAAAGGTACCTCTCATATATTAATGTAGATTAATGTTGCGTAAATGTTTCATACAGTTAATGTAACATAATGTCAATTCTACACCACAACAGAAGTATGCGCATTCTTGGGTAGAAAAAAAATGGCGGCGTGCCAACCACGTGTGATGCTGGGACGTTTTACTTCAGCGAGCAAAAGTGAAGAAAATACAAGGATTCTCGGGGCTGTGCTACTATACCCGATATCTTGGCTTTGTTTTCTCACAAGTTGTGTGGAATTTGTCCATGCACTGTCCAGTATTCAGGTGTCGTGGCTTTTGCTGAGAGCTTCACTTCTGACATCTTGTTTCAGTTCAACATTTTATTGAATGACATAAAGTGATGACGTAATGCACAAGTACACAAAAGGGTCAGACTAATTAACATACATTACATCCTAACAGTAAGAGCTTGTGGCTATATTTTATAATTCAATGCCAATTATGCTTTATTTAATACTTTAGAAATAGTAATCACTTTAGCTCACTGTAACCATAGGGTTATGGCGTCAGGTGGTTACGTTTAAAATCAGTGTTTGACCTGCATGGTTATATCCTATGAGGTATGCTTGGAAAACGAAACTACGCAGGTAGAACATGTGTTTATGAAACTTTTTCGATATAGTTGTTCCAGTTACTCCCACCCTCCTCTAGATTATCAATTTTAAAAATCTGTTTACTTTATACACACTTTTGCAATTACTATAGATGTAGGAAAAATTGATAACGCCCAGATTAGATTTGTGGACACACAGGGAAATGCTGAACCCCATATAGAATATGATGCCATCCCTTTCATTATTATGGGTAAAAAAGTCTTCGAATGTCATCAGGGATATGACAGAGACAAAAGGAACAACGAAAAGAAAAAAAAAATGAAATCAAGAGAAGATGTAAGTATGCATATAAATTTATTCTACTACTTCAGAAAAGAAACAAATCCCTGACATCATAAACAAGTCATTTTATACCATAAACCAGTCATTGAATATCAGAACTTAGATACTTAACAACATAACCCAGTCATGGTTCAACATACTCCAGTCACTGAATAGCATAACCCAGTCACGGTTCAACATACTCCATTCACTAAACCTAACCCAGTCTCGGTTCAACATCTTCCAGTCACTGAATAACATAACCCGGTCTTGGTACAATATATTCTATTCACTAAATAACATAACCCAGTCACGGTTCAACATCCTCCAGTCACTGAATAACATAACCCAGTCATGGTTCAACATACTCCATTCACTAAATAGCATAACCCAGTCACGGTTCAACATACTCCATTCACTAAAAAAACATAATCTAGTCTCAGTTCAACATACTACTATCACTAGACAACATAACCAAGTCTCGGTTCAACATACTCCAGTCTGTAAACAACTTAACCCAGTCTCGGTTCAACATCTTCCATTCACTAAAAAACATAATCCAGTCTTGGTTCAACATACTACATTCACTAACAACATAACCCAGTCACGGTTCAACATACTACATTCACTTAACAACATAACCCAGTCACGGTTCAACATCTTCCAGTCACTGAGTAACATAACCTAGCCATGGTTCAATATACTCTATTCACTAAATAACATAACCCAGTCACGGTTCAACATCCTCCAGTCACTGAATAACATAACCCAGTCATGGTTCAACATACTTAATTCACTAAATAACATAACCCAGTCACGGTTCAACATACTCCATTCACTAAAAAACATAATCCAGTCTCAGTTCAATATACATTCACTAAACAACATAACCCAGTCTCGGTTCAACATACTCCATTCATGGTTCAACATACTCCCCTTAAGAACATTACCCATCCATTGAATATATATATCCGCATAGCTCTTTTTCTTTAGTCTGACCACATGTACAAACGAAAGCGTAGATTGGTGATGAAATATCACTATGTTGTTCAAATAGACAGTCAGGGCAAATCCATGATGTACTTTGCTACTGTAGATGAGTAAAGTCCTTAACTCTGATAATCATGATTTCATTCATATCACATCCACACCAATTCCAAAGTGTTGTATCATTAATTCTTACTTGAACCATTATTTAGTAAATGTTGGAAGAAATTGATGAAAAT